TTTGAAAGAATGTTTTTAGCAAATATTCTCAAACTTGTTTAGGAAGTTGCGTTGTTTACTTAAATAAAATCAGACATTTTTATTTCTAAATTTATAATCTCTTCGTTTATATTCTGTTTGAGATTTCATATATTCCAATAAAATAAATAAATTTTCATTGAAATTCAACATTTGTAAGGAATTACCATATTTATATTTTCTTCTATGTTATTCGTTTAATTGAAAAATATCGAAATATTTCACTTTTTAATAAAAAAAATTTACGAGAAGAATTTGAAAATTCAAAAACATTTCAGTTGCAGAATAGACTTTTTCAATAAAAAATTAAATAAATTTTAAGAGATTTTAAAGTACTTAATGTATTTTTTAAATTATTATTAAGATCCAATTTGCAGTTCCTTTATTAACAAATAATTTCGATACATTAAAAGAACATTGGTCAGATTTTTCCGAGATGGGGTGAGTCACAACCGTATACACAATTATAGTATAGGCCTATTTACATACACGCGCATGGTCATTATATTACATTCGACTATGTTTATCAGGATTCGAGATGGAAGGACTTATGAGTTACCACCCCGAAAAGGTCAACGTCATCGGACATGGCTATGTTTTCACTTTTAAACTTCAATTTTAATTAGAAGTGGAGGAATTTCAGTCGCAATACAAAGGGCAGAAAACAAGTGATTTAACGATGTTGGTATCATTATGGGCAACATATTCTAAGATTCGTCATCATTCCTATCGGCGATTCGGTCCGAGGCGTGGTCGAGCGAAAGCCTACGTCGCAACTTTCCGCTTGTTGTGTCTTCGCGTTTTTCAACTCCTCTCCCACAGGATTCTTCGTATCTGATTAGTACGCCTACTTATGGTCTTCTTATTTTCACCAATCACGTCTTTTACCCAAAAATTAAATTTCAATCTCAATTACTCAACATTTTCTTCCAAAGAAATGCGAATTTCATTAACCTATTTTCTTGGTGAATGTCGGCCTTTCAGTTATCGAATCTTAATTACAAAATTAAGAAAGATAAAAGAAACTCCAATTATCGAATTTTTGTTTTAAATATCCTCAAAAAATTAATTCGAAAATAAAATTATTCGGTTTCTTTGAAGTCGCTAATTTGCTAAAATCTCGAAAAACGTCGATTAATTAATCTCGAAAAACGTCGTAATTAATGATTTCACGGTAATTCTATAAATAATTTTAAGTGAATTATGTAAGAGGATATCAAATACAATTTACTTAACGTACTGTACGTACAGTGGATTTAAAAGATTTTGCTTTTCTTATAATACACCTTTAAGCAGAGGAGTTAATTAAGATTCTAGGCGAATAAATGTAACACGTCCACCACAAAATTCAATTATACTCGCATCTTTACGGTTCCTTAACGCGCTGGTTCGCATTTACGGGATATTAAAAAGTAAAACGTCACAATTTTACACCAAATTCTTCGAAGAGAACCCCAAAAATAGTTAAGTTTTTGAGAAATCTCCAGACAAACGGACGGGTAAAAAAAAAATTAAAATTGTATACAGTATTTTAAATTACTCAATAGAATTGTGAAAAATTTTCTCGGTTTACGTGGTTCCAATTTAAATAATGAAGTCGAATGATTAACAATACCCAAGAGTTGAGAATTGAAAGAACTATTGAAAAAATATTTATATCTAAATTCTTTAGAATGTATTCGAACTTTCACGAAATTCGTTTGTCTGTCGTGTCTTCTAACTGAATTAAATCAAAAAATAAAAAAATCAAATAATCTTCTTAATTTCAGCCTTTACGTGGAGCCATCTAAACGAAAAAAAGCCATCAACGAGTTGTTTCACTTTTCCGGCAACATTTGGTGGCACCATCTGTTACGTTATTTTATTTAAAAAACCTTTTATATTTTTAACTATTATAAAATGACAAAAAGCTTAATTTTGAGGGTAGAGATGGGTTTTATAAAAAAATTGTAAATGCTAATAGCGAATAAAATCGTTAAGTCCTACCCTACTGAAGACATACGCGACGTCCATTATTTCCTCATCCCTTCGACGTTTAACCACTAAAATTTAATAGCATCAATTCTCTTAATACACAAACGACCCTGCAAAATTTCAGAAATTTTTGACAAAAAAACAGGAGTCATTAAGCTTCAAAGAGGGTGAACTGAATCGTGTTACTCACATACACACATATACACACTAACATCCATTCATACAGAAAAACTTCCCGAATGCTTTTTCATTTGTTTACGTTTCAAGATCCCTCGAGTCCAAAAACGTAAAAATGTCGGAGGGTCAATTTTTGACCGATTGCGATACTTTCCCTCCGTTGTGTATAACAGCCGGGAAAGTAAAACTTCGAATGAAAATTTCAAGAAAAAAAATTATGTTTTTTTTTTCAAAATATAAAATTTTCTTTTTATTAAAGACTCAAAAAATTATAATTTTCTCCAAAATTCAAACTTTTCGAATTTTTATTTATGTTATGTACTTAACAGAGGGAAAGTGTGGCGATCGGGCACCTAAATGAATTTAGGACACCTTAAATGGTCGAGAAATGCAAAAAAGTTCGGAGTAATTTCTGTATATATGGATATGGGGACACGATTTTGTTCACACTGTTTGAAGCTCAACAACTCGTGTGCTTTTTTTTGAAATTTTCTGAAATTTTGCGGGGAAGTTTGTGTTTTACGGGGATTGATGCTATCAAATTTTGATAAAGGTCGAGATGGCGGGGAGATAACGACGGTCTCGTGTATCTCCAGTAGGATCGGATTTAATGACGTTTTTCTCGTTATTAGCATTGATTATTTTTTTTTTGTAAAAATCCATCTCTACCCTCAAAATTAAACCTTTTTATCATTTTTAAATAATTAAAAATATAAAAAGTTTTTTTACTAAAATATCGCAACAGATGGCGCCACCAAATATTGCCGGAAAAGTTACGCAACTGGTTGCCGGATTTTAATCTTAAGACTTTAACAATTTAAATAATTTAAAATGTTTTCTGTATAAAAATTGATCAAAATTTTACTAATTTCTGTAAATTAAATACAGGATATCCCGTAAAGATATCGACTTAATAAAAAATATTCTTTTACTAAGTCGATAGAGATGTTGCAAATTTAACGAAAATAATATATTTTTTGTATGGTAAAACTCGATTTTATAGAACAATAGAATTTAAAAAAAAAACAAGTCTAAGTAGACCCCGGAGGGATGGAAAAACATAAATTCTAGTTTTAAATAATGCCAATCGATAACTCTCAACGTCCTTTAAGAACAACAAAAGATGCTCGTCTCATTATATTCCGGATGACCAAATAAATAATAACAAAATTTAATATATTTTAAATTTTTTCATTAAAGTTTTTCGCTATAAAATTGAATTTTCTTGGCTTTATTACGGCCAAATGTTCGAAATTTAACGGGCGAATAATTCCGTTATATACCGAAGCACACCTTTACAATACTTTATATTATTTAATTTATTTTTGACAAATGTAAATAATTAACAAAGTTAATTAATTTCGCAGAGACGAATCTTAATTATTCATTCTGTTTGAAAGAATTTCGTATTGTGTCGGATTGCGTCTTAATTATACTTAATTCTTGGAGCGGAACTTGTTCTTGTTTATGGAATTCGCACTTTAATGCGGCAGGTTTTCTTTTTTAAACCTTTTCCTTTTTTAAACCTTTTTTAAACCTTTTCCTTCAAATTAAGGCGCAAATTCTGTAATAAAAAATTAATAGATATTTCGTCATTAACTGGATAGATAATAAATAAACAAACATCGCTTAAACTGTATATAATGCGCAGCCGTATGTCGAAAGAAACCAAGATTTAGACAAAAAGGAAAAAAACACCGTGTTTAGAGGAGGGACAAGCGCAGATTTTGAAAGATATTCGTTACAAATGACATACACGTGTGTCGGGGTGTAGTAATAACTCTCTTGTGGTTAGAGTTCTGTCTTTTATAAATGGATACTCTTCGAATTTCTTGGACGAATGGCGTATTCATCCATCATCCCGTGTTTCGTTGGTAGATTTGGATTATCTTAAGGAGGGTAAATGATAAATATATTAAGGGAAGACGAAAGAGTTTCTTCTACCGAACTTCTGTCCATTCAAAACATTTAAATACGACGTCATTGGATACTAAATATGAAAATTACGTGTTATATAATTTTCTAATAAAGTTCGCGCTTAAGATATTGACTTAGCAAACAACTTAACTTTCTAATTTCGTAATTAGAGATTGGGGCAAGCACTCGAATACTTAGTGTTGGATGTCCGTGGTTGAAGTATCGTATTGTAGATAAAACTGGAAACCAGCACATTGAAGGCTTCATTTACGTTTGATCGATCGATTCTACTTAACAGTTGACATTTTGGCTACGAATTTTTGGGTATAGCTTCACTGTATAGCTCCAACGTGTTACTGAGGAATAATCATATTTGACAGCGTGATTAATTAAGAAACGATCCATTTTCTGGAAAGTTTTCTGACAAATTAAAAATAAATGATTGAAATTTATCATTTAGATCTAACGCAAATTTTTAATGTCTAATATTTTTCTCATTTACATTAAAATCACACAGAAAATTCGACAGTAATTTTAGAAATTTGATGTAGCGAAACACTTAAAATCGAAATTTCTATAAAAGATTCGAACCCAAATTTTCTTTAAAGTTTGGGTTCGCATCCTTGTTAAGATTTTTATTCCCGTAAGTGATACTAATTACTAAATAAGTATAAAAAATGATTTAATTGAGATTATTTTTCAGTTTTGGAGCCGGGGGTAGTGGCGAAGAGGAAGAAGAGAAGCGGGGATCATATATGCAAATTAATAGCTTATATTTAATAAATTCAATTAAGTGAAGGCAGCTTATTAAGAAAAGTTTGTGTCCGAAGGGAGTATCGATCGACGTTACTCCGACAACGTTTCGTCACACCACAGATTCGGTGCAGTAAGTGAATGGAGAAGTGTAGAGGCGAAAGCCTAGTTCGTTTCTCTCAAACAGACAGACACAATCGAGAAATGGCAACGATCGCCAACACTTTCCGTGCCGTCTGCTTACTTTTCTATTTACAGTTTTTGCTGACGGCCGTTAATTACGTTCACACAGGTGAGTAGACCCTACGGTTGTTTTGGAAACTTCTTCCAATTAATTTTATGTATAAATATATAGAGAAATGTCTGTATATTTATTATAATTTAGTTTACATTTGACTAATTAAGTCGGGAATTTGCAAAAAATACATCCAAGATGCCAAAGATTAATAAGTAATTAAGTAGTTTCTTCAATTATTTACGTAATTAACTATCGTCGCGGGATTATTTTTCTAAATTTCCACCGAAAAAAGAGTAGCATACAGGTCCTATGTTGTTTTCTAAATATAGTCGGTTCCCTATTTGTTTTGCCACGTGAGCATTTCTACCGAGAAATCGTCACTCGATGTATTATTTAGAGCTGTTTATAACGAAAATAAACTTCGAGGATACGTCCTAAATTACAAATTGCAGCCCATTAAATTCGAACGAAATCTTGATTTATCTTATTTTCTTTTAAAGTTAATCGTCATTTGTAAGTAAAGTATAAAGATCGATGCTCGGGATGATGAAGATGAAACGATTATTCTTAATCATCTTAAAATATTGCACTAAATTAAATTAATATCTAACGAACTCAATCGAAGTTTCAAGATAAACCTAATTTAGGAATTTCCTTAAATATTCTTTAATCTTTAGTTTTATAGGGAAAAATATATAGGCTACATTCAACGCATTTGTTAATTTAATTGCTGATAATTTATATATAAATAAATCTTTAGAATAAACATTTATTATATAATTTCAAATAATTTTAATGATTCAATTTTGCAATTTCTTGAGAACTTTACAATTGCAGGCCGCGACTTCAGACCTCCCTTCTAAGCAGATCCAACTGTAGTGTCTATGCCCGTAGTTTGTATATAATATAAAGTATTTAAAAGAATTAAACATATTAAATTTATCAGGATTAATTAAGTCGTAGGCCTTAAAATATCCGACTTTATTGGCAATTAACGAAGGAAATCTTTGAAAAATTTCAGTTTTTTTTGTATTTAACCCAGTTTAGAATTTTAGACGTAATCCTTAATAATTATGTAAATCTACTAATTTTGTAAGTTAATCCTCATTAGAAATAAAATTAGAATGGTTCATAATTAGCGTGAAATTTCATCTCGGCTAATAGAATTCTATATTTTTTATAACGAATTAAAGTAAATATCCAATTGTTTAGAAGTATTATTAATTCGATTTTTAATTTTTGGACCATAATTTAAGAATAAAAAACAGAAACAAAGGCGAGAATTGACTTAGCATAGAATAGATTTTCCATTCTATTTTTGGGTGTCTCGTCGAGTCGGAGTTTCGAATGACCTCGAAGTGACCTCGATTAAAACTTCCTCGACCAATTAAACGCCGTAAAAAGCGATTTTTATCCCTCATTTTAACCAATTTTTATATAAAAAGTAAATTAAATCGGTCAATCGCGGCTCGAATTTCGACTTATCTTTAAACCGAGAACAACGAATTTCACATCATTTTTTGCCAAATTCGTTACTTGTAAATATGTGACGATATATTTGTCAATACGTTTGTCTATCCGTTCTTTTTACGAAGAAAACTTTACTTAATTAATAAATTTCGACAAAATTCTTCGATGTAGAGTTAATTCTGGATATCGTTTTGGATGCATTCTAATGACAAACCCTTCACTTTGAATTAATTAAAAACTCGGAATTTTCATATAATAAATAAATTTATACAATAAATTTCTCGGCGTGTTGAAAATTATTTTTCGTACGTAATTATATTTTATACTTTTAATTGTATTTACGTTTTTACGCTTGGTTTAACAATTGTCGAGGAACTGTAGAAAAACTTTTTTCTATACAATTTCAACTTTTTAATTTGTACATTTGCTTTAAATTTATATTTTAGATTTTAGGAACCACAAATTACGGAGAAAGATGCCGCTAATTATATTAAGTATAAAGATATGAGATTTTTCGAAACGACGGCAACACGAAAAGGAATAGCGAATTAAGCAAAAATATTACACATTTAATTAATTCGTCTTTAACTAACATAAAACATAAATCATATCTAACGTAATTATAAACGGATTTTCTTTTTTCTTTGGCTACCGACCGAATTAATTGCTTTGTTCGTTAATCACGCTTCGTCGTCGTTTAAAATTGAAAATCTCATCCTTTTAAACTAAAAATTTCGTATATAATTTAGTCGAAACTAATCAAGTTCCAAAACTTAAAAATAATTAAACAAATATTTCGTGTAGATCATACATTGTAAGTGAGCGTAACTTACGCCAATCACTGCGTAATCCACCATAATTATTTAGCAACGTGAAATTTAATACGCTTCATTTAAAAACATTAAAAACAAAGTTTTAACTAATTTAGAAAAGTTAAACGAATTTCTTCATTTTCTTCTTCCCTTCTAAGCAATATTTGATGAGTTTCGTTAACTTTACGAGCGACATTCTCGATTTATTCATAAATTTGAATATAAAATAGCTTCGGTTCGTCCATTCTAACGATGTTTTGTATACTTCTTTGAGAAATAAATATATAATTTGATACGATAGAAGTATTTTAATATTATCCGGATACAATTTTTGAAAGTACGAGTTTTTCCTGAAAATATTCACGGTTTCTAGAATTTCTACAAAATTATTTCCGCGTTATTCTATATTGTAAATTACGTAAATAAATATTGATTATTTTATATTTATATACTTTATACAAACAAATATAAAGTATATTACAAAACGATTTTATTACAGGCTTTTCTAGAAAAATATTTGCAAATGGCAGTTATGGAATTTATGAGCCACGGCATTAATTTAATATAATACTCTTATCGGGATAAATTTAATTTAAACAGTTTAAATATTAAAAGAGTATATATTTTAGAATTAACTTACGATAGATATTAATAAAATGTTAAGTAGATTTATAACTAAGTCCTCCGATGTTAAATACATAAAAATTTTAAATAAATGGCGGGATTATTTACACGGTCGAGTTATTCAAAATGCGAAAGCGAAGTAAACAAATTTTCAATATTAAAATATTCGGATCACGAACGACACGAAAAGTTCAAATTTAGAAAAATATGAAAGAGTTTCTTCTTCTAGTTAATTATATATGACAGATTTTTAAGGTAATTTTAAATGAATTAACCATAGTCTTACGCAATAATTATTTGTTTAATTACTATTTGATCATCTTATAGCTAAAAGTGTCCGTTGTTTTTTGAATTTTTCTGATTTCTGCAAGCTCCTCGAATAACTTAGTTACTGTACCAGTAAATTTCATATAGATTCGCCCTTAATTATAATAATTAGAGATTTTCTAAAGATATTTTAGTCTATTTTTCTATCCTGGCGAATATTTTACTCTATCGGATATGCGGATTATAATTGGAACGAGGAGTGTTTACCCAAATAATGTCGTTGATCAACTTATTTATTTCGGAAACTAAAATTAATTTGTCTTAGTAAATAACCAGCTACATTAATTCCATTTATTTTATTATTAATTATTTTCAAATTCATTTCTACGTCGTTCCGGCGTGAGCCAGGATAACAATTCTTCTAACAGACATAATAAACTAATTTTGTAAGTTAATCCTCATTAGAAATAAAATTAGAATGGTTCATAATTAGCGTGAAATTTCATCTCGGCTAATAAAATTCTATATTTTTTATAACGAATTAAAGTAAATATCCAATTGTTTAGAAGTATTATTAATTAGATTTTTAATTTTTGGACCATAATTTAAGAATAAAAAACAGAAACAAAGGCGAGAATTGACTTAGCANCCAGCTACATTAATTCCATTTATTTTATTATTAATTATTTTCAAATTCATTTCTACGTCGTTCCGGCGTGAGCCAGGATAACAATTCTTCTAACAGACATAATAACTCGTAATTATTTTAAATCGGATACGAATTATTAATAATAAAAAATTAGAAGATATTTATATTAATAAAAACGTTGATACCAGCGAGTAATTAACTAATGACATTGATTTTCTTTTGTCGTACAAAAATCACTCTTGTTATTAATGGCAAAGTATTGTTGGCTGCGTCGAAAATAGTTCGTGGGGAAAAAGAGTAAATTATAATTAATTATTCATAAATAGAGCGTTTAAGCGCATCCTTCGCTAAGCCAACATGGTTAATTCAGCCGTCATCGTGTAATTAATGATGATTCGGCGTATTTTTTCTCAAATTTTTAATTATTTTTAGGTTTTTACATTTACGCAACTGCTTTTTGTAAACGCGGAAAACTATTTATTAAAGTCGTAATTAAAATTATGGCTAAACTTCGGCGTATAACGGATTGAAATTGCCTTCTTCTTAATTTTCTTATTCCAATATTTTCAAAAATACAGTAAATTTACTGTTTAAAAATGCTGTAATTTTATCAGATCTTTAAGAATAGGAATTCTTGATTTTAAATAACCTATTTTTACTTTCTGATATAGCCTATATATTAGACTGTTTTAAGATATCCAAAACTCGTAACTGCTCCGGGATTATATAAACCTATATAATATTGGAGTGTAAAATAATAGACACTAGTATTACAATTGAATGGTAAAGTATTACAAATGAAACTTAATTCCTTGCTGTTTAAATTTATTTTCCGCTCGTACTCGTCCTTTAACTACTTGTATCGAATTACTTTTCTCCAAGTAAATAATGAAAACTTCAGTTCCATTATTTAAAATGAAATTGCATCATACATATAAACTTTCTCGATTCAAACTGGAAGAAGTTCGTCTTCTTAATATTTTGAACGACGATTGGTTGACGGAAACGAAAATAAAAGTTAAAGACCACCGCATCGAGCGATTGGTGGAAAAATAATCGTCTTAACGACGATTGGCGGAATTTCTAATAATACGAATTATTGTCGTTATTCTTACTATGGAAAATGTTTAGTGGCCATTTAAATTAAATTAAATTTCGGTTTGTTTTCTGTTTGTGCCGTTTGTCGTTGCTTCGAATTCGCTACCGTCAATTTTGACCAGAGGGACACGGCA